TATCAAGGAGAAAGTTCGAGGATGCTGCGGGTCGCGGCTGGGGCGGAAAAATGCAACCCGTCTGGGTCACACCTTCATTCCAGGAGATCGCCTGCAGAGACCGCGCCGTGGGGGAACCCGCCAGCGTCCCCGCGCCGGGCCTGCCCTCCGCTCCAGTGGCCACCTGACCGCTGCCATTCGCAACGTGGCTCTCAAGCTCCGGCCCTGGGGCGGCCCGCGCAACCTTTCCGCGGCGGTGGCCCGTGGAAGCCCGGCCGCGGCGCATTGCCGCGCCCTCGCGTCTCCCGTCGAGCAGAGAGGGACGGAGGCCTGCGCCCGGGAGCTCCCTGGCGGTGGTCCGGCCGCCCCCCGCCCCTCGGGGGCTGCTCCCCCTTCTCAGCCTCGCCAAATCCCTGAAAGCCTGGGCCCCCTTCGCCACCCCGGGGGCTTCTAATCACTCCGTATCGATTTCCCTAACTCTTTTCATCCCGTTGAAGACACATCTTAAAACACTCCAGCCCGGAGTGTGCTCTGGGCTTTATCCACACTAATAAAATGATTTACCCTTCTCTCTGCGCTCTCCTCACAGAGGAAAATCGTTCGAGCCCCGGCTACTTGTGTGTGATCAGTAAATATTTAGTGCGGTGACATCCTCAGCTAGGCTTCGGATCGATTCGGGGACCACCGGGAGGTGCGCACGGTCCGGGCGGGGCCGCGCAGAGCCCGCCGAGGGGGCTCCTCCCGCCCTCGCTGCTGGCCGCTGATTTACGGCCTCGGCAACCAGCAAAAGGGGGCGAAAGCGCGCTGGGAAAATTGGCTTTTCAACCTTTTTACTTTTGACATTCAGCCACCTCCCCAGGCTCTAATTCTCGCCTCCGCTCTTTCCCACCCCCCTCCGCCCCCGACCCAGGGCGCCCCGTGCGCCCCGCGCGCCCTTCCCGCCGCAGCGCGCTGCGCTCGCGCCCCCGCGGCCCGGGGACCACCTATCACAGCCCTGCGCCGCGACGCGGGGCGGCCCAGGCCTCTGCTCTGGGGGTCGTCGCCTTCGGGGCGAGGTGCGCTCGGCCCGCCCACACCTCAGAGGGCGGAGAGAGGATGGAGAGGCCCGCGGCTCCATTCGCCCATCCAGGAGCCACTCTCGCTACCTTTTCTCCGACCCTCGGTCATTCCCCCATTTCTGGGGCTGGTCCTCGACGCCCCTCGGGCTGGACGGCGTCGGGTGGGAACTTTACTTTCCTCGCAGAGAAGCTCCCGTTTCCTTTGAAGCGAAAAGGCGTTGAGCTTGGATGTGTTGGAAGGGGGCCTCCTACCCTGATCCTGGGTGGCAGGGGGCTGCGGCCGCCGCAGTGGCGGTGTCCTCGTCCCCCGGGCCCTCCCGGTCTTCCCTGGGCGCACACCGTCGCTGCAAGACGGCGCCCTGGACCAGCACACCAGGAGGTGGGCCCGACCCGGAACGCGGCACGCTCTCGCCTCACGCTCTCGCTTCTCCTGCGGGACCCGCCACCTCCGACGACTACATTGTCCGAGCGAGCGGGGAGAAGGGAGGGCTGCTAACCCCTTGGGTTCCACCGCTCTTCGGCCCGGGGGCTGGGGCCTGAGCGACGCCAACGCCTTTGCCCACCTGTTAGCGGGCCTGCTCCCCTCTCACCTGGGGCCAGGGCGTCTGGGCCCGGGGAGGAAGGTGAGCGACCTTGTTGGGTCCACGCACCCCTCCCCGAAGCTAGCGCCCTCTCCTTTGTCCTATTCCTGATTTTCTAAACTGCCTTATCTGCAGACTATATCTTTATACTAATGCATACTTAATTGGTCCGTCTTGACTGTCCATATAAAACAATTTAATTAGGGTGCTTTCTTGCTTTGGAGAGCAAAGAAAAAAAAATCTGCCCAGTGCTTATTGTATTTAGCACCAATACAGGCAGAAAATGTAGCACAAGTTTTTGGTTGAAAGAGCACCTCTGTGCCCATTGAAGGGCGTTGATCCGAAAAGACAGAAAGGACAAGTAAAATCGATTTGAAGCGACCCTCTCTGTCCCTTTCACACCATTCAGAAACTCCATTCCTTGTAAGACAAAGACCAGCGCCTTGGGAATTCTCAGGGAAAAAGAGGAGTCCAATCCCACAAGCCTAGGGCACTTTTAAAAAATCCTCAATATTGCACTTAAAACCCGGCTCTCGGTGCTGTGCCCCCCGCGTCTGGGTTTCATAGACACCCCCTCCGAAGCCTCGGGCAGCCTGGCTGACAACACCCCCACCTCTCTGCACGCTGGGCCTTCTGGCCTGGCCAGACAAGCCTTTTAGGGTTAGTGCAGCCCTCACCTTTGACCCCCAAGATCGGAGTGGCTACCATGCTACAGAATGCAGAGTTACAACTCAGGCCAAAGTTAAAACAAAACAACAACAACAACAAAAACAAAAACACTTCTCTACTCCCAACCCAGGGAAACTAGTTCTGGTTCCCCCACCCGGCCACCTTACCCAATAACCCCCTCCACCTCGATGGGTTTTTTCCCTTCGCTGTCGTCTTCGCCAGCAAAGAACTGCCCTAGCCACCTCTGAAGGAAGGAACTTAAGTTGTCAGGGCAGCGTGGCTGGGTTGCGGTGAGTTGTCCTCCATAAGGAACCCGAGTGCCAGGTTATCTGACAGGCGCCCAGGCTGGGGAAGGCGGACATTGATCAGACCTGGCAGGGAAGGGAGAAGGGAGAAGAGGAGAGAGGAGGGCAGGGGAGGGGAGAGGCTGGGGAGCGATCACCTTCACCTGCCCTGAGCCCGGCCCCCCTGTTGAACTATCCCTCAACCTTCTGCTGGGGTTAAAGGGGGCGGGGGCGGAAGGGAGGGGGGCACCCCTGAGTTACACAAGTGGCCTCCTTCTACAAGAGAATGAGTTCACCACCTCCCCAGAGAAGCCTCACCATCCATCCACTCGATATAAATGATGAGACAAACCACAAGGAAAAACTTCTGTAGCCCATATTTATGGTATTAATGAATAGTTAAAAAAAGATTTACACTTCTTATGATCAATATTCTGAGTTATTTCCCTCAAAGTATATAATTACAGTGTCTTCAGAGTTTTCATCATTGTTTGAGGTGGCAAAACCATTTGTAATTTTCATTAGCCAGTAAACATGTAATTAACATTCAGCACTGTGTTTAACTTAATTCCTGTTTAAGACAAGGACAAGAAGCAGCCGAAGAGCGTTAGTTCCATTTGTCAAGTCTGACATACATCTTACCATAACAGTTTCCTAAAATAAAAGATCCGTGTTTCCCCATTATTCTTCTCTTAAAACAAAACAAAAAAATCCATTAGTTAAAACTGTATTAAAACTGCAAGAGGCAACATAGTTTATTCTCAATTTTCTCTAGTTACTGTATTCCTGCTTCCTTTTTTCATGTAGGAGGGTGGGTGAAGGGAGGGGGTTAATTAAGCATTCATTATTGAAGACTTGAAATTGGGAACCCCTCCCCCCAAAAGAAATAGGTTTCCTCCTCAGGAAAGTTCTAGAATGGGGACTGGAAAGGGGGGACACAGATCTGCAGGGGAAAGGGGAAAAAAATCACTTGGGGGGACACGAGTTAAAAGTAGAAAAATGAGGATTCCAACGGATTCCTAAGAAAAATGTTGCCTTCCTGTTTCAAGTTCTATCTTTGATCCAGGGTGAGGGGAGCCTGTCTGCCAGTCTGCTAGGCTGCTGCTTTTTCCCCCTCCTCTCCCACCTCTGTTTTTTTCCAACTTGCTTTAGGATTAGCCTCCATCCCTCTCGACCCCAAACAGTGGAATTTGGCTGTGCCTCGGGTCGTCTTGCTTTGCAATATCGCCCATAGTTGTTGGCGGTTTTCTGCTGAGGCTGAGCCGTTTGCTCCAGCCTCCGACTAAACTCATTAAGTTGGGAGATTTTTTTCAATTGGACGGGTGTTTTTAAAGTCTCGTCTTTCCAGCCCCAAACAAGGTGTAACAACGCACTCTTCCTTCTAAGGAATGAGATGAGAGACAAGGATCACTCCAGACATCTCCTACCTACGGTTTGGGGTTTTTTTTCTTAAAGGCGAGGCTTGCATTCCTCAGCAGCTATGTACAAAGCTCCCTGAAACCTCGTCTCTCTAAAGTTAGTGTGCAGGGTTTTCCAGGGCTGAGAACGCCTAATACATGGGGAAGCACTTCCTTGAGGTGGAAGATCTCTCCCTACACCTTCCCTCTTTTTCCCTGCAGGCTAGTGCCTACTTTTTATCAGTTTGCACAATCGCTTAGATAAACACCGAGGAGGAGATTCTCTTTAATTATCAAAGACACATCTTTTCAGGGGGCCAACAAAGCGTTTATTTCACCCGCCAAACTAAAGGAGAGTTATTCCAGTTTAGAAGGAAGATGCAAGCGGTTTGGGACCTTGAACAAGGCAAATATGGTTTTGGTATGTTTACTTACAGTATTTTTTTTCTTTCTCTCTCTCTCCTTTCTCACTTTTCTCCTTGTGCTGTGTGGGGCTGGGGATGACTTGGGGCTTTTCAAAAAATCGGTTTGCTAACGTGTATGAAATGCCTAGGACTGTGGTTTCAGGGGTTTGGGGGGGGGTGGACAGTCAATTCAATGCATTGCCATATTTTATTACATGTGTGTGATAGGAGAGGTGGTGGAGGGGGGGAAGAGGGGGGAAAATACAATTGCAAAGCTGCCAAAATATGATTAAACCGAAGCGTAAAGACTGCGGTGCCTCCCCATCTACTCGTCCTGTCTCCTCAAACTCATTTCCTTCGATAGAGCAAACTAAAAGCCAGTCCTAGAAGCGTGTTTTTTCCAAGCCACAGACGACTCGGTTTTCTAGCAAAGGAGCTGCGAGGCTTGCGCGAAGTATCAGAATTTACTGTTTGATTTGCCTCTGCGCTTCATTTTGCAACCTTGTGCAAGTGACAGGCAGTCCGGCAGGGAGGGAGGAAAGCTCTGCCCGGCGCCCTCGGCCGCGGCTCGGGGAGGCGAGCGCTCGGCTAAAGCTAGGAGGAGAATCGCAACGCGAAGGGTACTCACCATCGGGCGGGGTGGTGGAGCTGGCGTGCGGATTTCAGGCAAACGTTTACCTTTTTGCTGTCTATTGCAACCGCGTCGGGCTGACTTAAGAAGCAATTCTGTGCTCTGTCCAGAACGTTCAAGGAACGGTTCCTCATTTTTAAAAAGCCAGCGAGAGAGACGACAGAGACAGAGAAAGAAAAAGAGAGGAGGGGGTGAGGAGGACGCACATAAACCCAGTTCAGGGAGAGAGAGAGAGAGGAAAAAAAAAATCATCACCTCTCCGCCAGTGACTCGGGAAACGCAGAGGTGGCGAGATCCGAGTCCGGTCCAACCAAGCTAGAGCCAATTAATTTTAAATCCTGAAGAATTATTCAGATTAAAATGTACAGAAGTTTCATTCTCCTATGCCTACGTGAGCTCAAAGTCGTTTCCCTTTAAGAGCTCCTTTTCTTTTAAAGTTGAATTTTAGGCAGCGAGGACTCTTACACTAGGGGGCAGACAGATACTGTACTTGCTCCAATCTTAGGCAATTTTTTCCCTCCCAGCATATGCTCTGATTTAGCACTGTAAATTTTTCAGAGGACCCAACTCTGACAGCCCCTGGTGATTTTCAAAGTACCACAAGCCAGTGGTTAAAAATTGCATTGACTTGGAAGTTCAGAGGGACACAATGGAAGCCCCTTTCCCTATTCATGGAGCTCCAGTGTGGTGGAAGAGAAAAACACACACGGACTAGATTGAGGGAAAGGAGGAATTCAATGAATCCTGGTGGACAGAACTGGTTTCTACTGAGTTCAGAGTTAAACTCGGCATTTGCCGGGGTCTGTATTCATATTGTGATTTAATTTGTGGAGAATTACAGCCATCAGGCCACTTTCTGCAAGAAAATCATATTCCTGGGTGGGTTTACTTTCCTTTTTTTTTTTTTCCCACCAGAGTAAAACAAATGTTTTTCCAACTTTCTGCGGCCAAATTAAAGCTTGCCATTCCTCTCATTAAAATAAATTTACATCTACAATAAAAGACTGGGCTGGATTTTTTTTTTTTGAACAGTAACGACATATTGATATTTATCTTTTAGTCTTAGAGCTGTTTATTCAAGGGAAATGAGCATCTCTGAAGAAGACATTTTAAAATATTTTCCCCTGGTTTTTTTCCCCCTTGAGTCTGCAGTCCTTCCTCTTCTAATGTGCAGTCAAATTAACTACAATTGATATGGCTATTTATGTATTTATTTATTGGATTTTTAATAGCAGCCCCATAACTGAATGAATCCTAAAATACAGACTGAAACACCTCGGACTTCATGGCAGCCCTGTGGTTGTGTGCTTTAGCAGGCTTCAGTTCTGTAAGAGATTGGGAAATTCTTCATTTTAAACCAGAGGCCATCAGACCGCACTTCAAATACCAAAAATCTCTTTGGAAGCTCTTCCTCGTCAAAAATTTCCCACTGCATGTCTGGAAAAGGTGATCTTGCTATATAGAAGTGTCTGCACTCAAGAGGCGAGATTAAGATTTCCCTACAATCAATTATTCCCATCTTCTATTAAATTGAGATGGGTATGCCCATTAGATTTCCTATTTCAACACAGCCCCGCCACATCTCTGCTGAGTTTGCCCCTAATCTACTGACATTTGTAGCATTAGGCAATCCCTTGAATCATAGGGGTTGAAAGGGAAGAAAACAACAACAACAACAACAACAAACCCTTCTCTGAAATGATTTCTTTTCCATCCTTCTGTCCTCCTTACGAGAAAGTTATATTGTGTCTCTAATCAACCTGAAATTCTCAGCCTGCCTTCTCTCTGTGGCAATCTCATTACACACCAGCTTTCTGATAGTTCAGTGTCCACTATAGTTGTTTTTTTTTTTTTTTTACAACTTTCAAATAATCCCAGCACCTGCAGCTTTAGTGAAATACGTGATTTTATCGGAGAAAGGGTGAGGGCTAGGAAGTTTCCAGGAATGAATGAAGGGGGGTTTCTCCTTCCCTAAAAACTGGCCCCTGTCTGCCTACATCTTCACTTAGTACTTACCTTATATTCTGCCTGTGTGTAAAGGATACTGAATGCAAAGTGCACACCAGCACAGGTCAATTACATGTCTGGTTCATGCTTTTTTTCAAAAAAAAAAAATCTCTCATCTCGTCGATTTTTTTGAACTATCAAGGATGCTTTCCTGTGGTCATTAATTTACTCTTTATATGTGTTCATGTTTCCTAAAGCCCAGCGTGTTTTGTGTAAAATATTCTAATTGTTCATAAACCTGGCTGGCTTGCCAGTTTACAGTTTTTCTTGCTGCAAAAATGTGTATGAGGGTGTCAAAATGTTGTTCCATATATGTTGAATAATTACAATTCACTAACTTCCCTTTGATTAAACCGAAAGGTTACTGCGTTGAAATACAGTGCATTCTGTGGGGTCAGTTCTAGATGTTTGATGCTTAAAACCAAACGCCCTGGAATTCGGAGGCACATCCCCTGTTGATGATTTTAGCACATTGAACGGAATGGCACAGGCTATGAAGTTGTTCTTATTGAATCTCCTGAGATAGACTGTGGCTTGTGTGCGGTTCTCCTGAGTTGTACTTGGTATTATTCCCAATTTGGAGCAGAATCTCTGGTTGTGTTTTAATGACTTTATGGATGCTTACAAGGAACTTGGGGAACAATGAAGTTGGTACTCAACTGTTCCATGACCTAGAAGCACAGTCGCTGAAGCCTTTGTCTGTGTACATTGACAAATGTGCATCTGATACATGTGCGCTTACATGTGTGTACAGAGGGTATGCACAGGGGAGGCTGGGAGGCTGCCTCCGCTTGTCCATCAGCGGGCAGGACGGTCTATTCCCCTCTCTCCACGACTGGGTATGTGGCAGGACCGTGGCTTGTGAGTTAGCTATAACTAATGCGAGGGGATAAAGTTGAGGAAAATTGATTTTAATTGCGTCATGACAATGAGATGAAGTCTACTTGTGCTTCTCGGCATCCGAGACGCTTTATTTGAGCAATTAAAATGTCAGGCCACATACCTGTGAAATGTTAACCCTACAAGGAAAAGACAGAGGCTAAACGGCTTTTGTTTCTTTTTTTTTTTCTTCTTCTTCTTCTTCTTCGAAAAAGGAAAAAAATAAATAAAAAAGGAAAAAAAAAAAGCCACAAAACCAAGCAAGTGATCAGAGTTGATTAAGAGAAGGGTCTACCATCACCCGGATTTGACCAAATCTTTCGTTTGGAAAATGCCTCCAAGCTCGGTTCGCGGCACCTTCCTCCCCCCCCCACCCACCCCACCCCCCACTCCCCCTCTTCAAAGAAACCGGGGAACTTTTCTCTTTCTCTGGCTTGGTGGGCACAAAGATGCGCCGGGAGTCCCGGGTGGTGCGCGAGCGACGGATTTCACGGCAGCGCCAAGTTGCGGGAGGCGAAGTGCTCGATTCCCTGCGAAGCCTCTCGCGGAGCCTTTAAGAGGCGTAGTGTGTGCGCGCCGCGCTCCTCTCCCCGCCGGGGCGGAAACCTCCGGCGCGGGGTGCCGAGAGCTCGGGGGCCGCGTGCCCGGGGCCGGCCCGGGCCCATCCCCCGCGCGGCGGCGGCGGCGGCGCGGCCGCCCCCTCCCCGCCCCCCGGGGCCCCCCGCGCGCCCCGCGCGGCGGCCGCGACGCCGCTCGCGCTAGGACCGGGCTGAGCCCGCGGCCGCCATGGCGGGGCCGCCGCGCTCCGGCCAATGACGACGAGGGGGCGGCGCGCGCGCGCCTGGCCAGGCCAACCCCGGCTGCTGCCTTATAAGGCGCGCCGTCTCCATGGCAACGTGCGCTAAGTTGCAGCAGTCGTGTCAAAGTTCACTATATAGAGAGCTCAGTGAGCTGATCGCGGAGAAGCCACTTCTGCCAGCCCCGGCGCCTATAAATCGCATTCCCTCCCGCGCCCCCCTTTTTAGCATATTTGATCACTTTGATTCTCTGTTCTTTTCTCTCCGCGGTGTGTGTGTGCGTGCGCGCGTGTGTGTTTTCTTCTCCTCCTCCTCCTCTCCCCGAGTTGCCTCCTTTCTCCGGGTGCCGTGCTGCTGCCTTTTTTCCCTCCTTTCATTCTTTCTCTCCGTCTTTTTCTCCCCCCTCTGCGCACGAAGGATGTGCTTCTAGGTGGTGATCTGCCCTCCTCTCTCTCTTTTATCATTTCTCCCCCGCCGCCGGCGAGTTGACTCTTTCCCTATGTGTGTGAGGCGGCGGCGGCAGCAGCAGCAGCAGCGGCGGCTCCGGCGGCGGCAGCAGCGGCAGCAGCGGCTTCAGCGGCGGCGGCGGCGCTAGACGCGGCGGCTCCGGGCCCGACCCGGCGGCTTCGGCGGCGGCGGCGGCGGCGGCGGCTCCGGCGGCGGCGGCGGCCCGGGCGGCCCGCAGGGAGCGGCGAGCGGCCTCCATCCGGCGAAAGCGGGCGGCGGCGGCCAGAGCGAGCGAGGCGCGCGCCGGGCGCCCGTGGCAGGCGGCGGCGGCGGCGGCGGCCCAGCGCCAGGACGACGCCGCGCAGCGCCCGACGCGGACCACTTTCATGCTGATTCCCCCGGACCCGGGCAGCGCTCCGGCCACTCCGCGGGCCGCCGGCCTCCGCCCCGGCCTGCCCGGCTCTCTGGGCGCGCCCGCGACCGGCGCCTCCGCTCTCCCAGTCCTCCTGATTTCGATGGCTTTCCTGAATGGCTGACTGTGGGCTGCCCTGGACTTGGCCCCCGGACAGTCGCCTCTCCTCCTCCTCCTCCTCCTCCTCCTCCTCCTCCTCCTCCTCCTCCTCCTCTTCCTCCTCCTCTTCCTCCTCCTACTCCAACTCCTCGGCACACCAGCTCTGAGAGCGAGAGAGTGAACGAGAGAGGGAGGGAGAGAGTGAGAGCGAGCGAGATCTTTGGAGAGATTTTTTTTTTTTTTTTGCCTCCTACTTCTGTCTTGAAGCCAGACAATCGACTTGCAGCTCTCCCTCCCCTCCCTCTCTCTCCACGTTTTGCTCCCACTCTCTCTCCCCTGGCCCCTTCCCCTCCCCTCCGGGCGGAAAGCCCCCCGAAACCAACAAAGCTGAGCCGAGGGAAACAAACAAAACAAACACACCGGGCCAGACAAGCAATCGACAAAACTTTGCAAAAGCAGAAACAAAAAAGGAAAAACTAATCAACCTCAACCAACCAGCCCCCGAGCCACCCGGGGCGCCCTCCCGCGCCCTCTCGCACCCTCGCACACACAAAAGGCGGCGCGCCGGAGCCCGAGACCCGGGAGCCGCCGCCGCCCGCAGCCAGGGGAGCAGGAAGTCCGGACGCGGCCCCCATAGATATGGCAATGGTAGTCAGCACGTGGCGAGACCCCCAGGACGAGGTGCCCGGCTCGCAGGGCAGCCAGGCCTCGCAGGCTCCGCCTGTGCCCGGCCCGCCGCCTGGCGCCCCGCACACGCCACAGACGCCGGGCCAAGGGGGCCCGGCCAGCACGCCGGCCCAGACGGCGGCCGGTGGCCAGGGCGGCCCTGGCGGCCCGGGCGGCGACAAGCAGCAGCAGCAGCAGCACATCGAGTGCGTGGTGTGCGGGGACAAGTCGAGCGGCAAGCACTACGGCCAGTTCACGTGCGAGGGCTGCAAGAGCTTCTTCAAGCGCAGCGTGCGGAGGAACCTGAGCTACACGTGCCGCGCCAACCGGAACTGTCCCATCGACCAGCACCACCGCAACCAGTGCCAGTACTGCCGCCTCAAAAAGTGCCTCAAAGTGGGCATGAGACGGGAAGGTATCGGCCTCTCATTTCTACACCCCCCTCCCCGCCTGGGGTCCCGGGGCCCTGGGTACGTGTGGCTAGCCTGCTCTGGGTAAGGACGCAGAAGCCCCGAGCTCTTCTCTTCGTATTGCAGCTGAAAGGGGTTTTATACTAGAAGCAAGTTCTGCACTGGAACCCAGGCCCCCAATTCCGCATGCTTTGGCCGACTGATTTCCTCCTCTACTTTCTCTTCGGGCTGTTTCATTTTCTTTGCATTGATTGCGAGTTCATTCGAGTTCGCCTTTTCCCCCCCCACAGTTTGTTGTGTGTACCACACCCCCCCCCCCCCCCCCCCCCCCCCCCCCCCCCCCCCCCTCCCCTCCCCCTCCCCTCCACACAAAAAGCACCAACAAAAAAAAAAATTGTGGAGGAATGAGTGTTGGGGAATGGGGGTTAAGGTTAGGAGAGAAGGGAAGAGAGTGGTAGAGAGAGGAGATAGAGATAAGAGTATAAAAAGGGGTAAGATGATATGTGTAAAATAAGAATAAAAATAAAATAAAAAAAAAGATATTTAATTAATTAATAATAATAGTTGGGTAGTGGGAATGAATTTGTTAATTGATTGGTTATATAGTAAATCCTTTAAAGAAAAGGTGTTAGAGAGGAAAGGATGAGCTATTGTACAGAATGGATGAATTTATGAGTTTTAAAAAATAATAATAAATATGTTGTAGTTTTTGTAATTATAGGTGTTTGAGTGTGAGAGTGTGAGATAAGGTGGAAGGGAAATAGAGGATGATTTAGAATAGGAATGGGGAGGGGGTGTGTTTTGAAGAGTAAAATAAAGAGAATGGAGAGAAGAGAGAAAGAGGATAAGGATAGGAGTGAGAGAGATAAAAGGGATTTATTGTGTTATATTGAGTATATATAAAGTCCAGCGTCAGATAACAGCCCGAGCCCGAGCCTCAGCAGCCTTCCCCGGCCCTCTCGGGCCCTACCCTGGCTGCGCCGGCGCCGGCCGCCCGCTCCCCGCCCGCTCCCCGGCTTCCTCTCTCCTCGGCCGGCCTCTCTCTCCGCCCTCTCCCTCCGTCTCTCTTTCTTCGAGCACACTGATGAGGCTGCCGCCAGACCTCGGCTTTCCGCTCGTCTCCCACCGTGGTGGGGCGGGGGGGGGGGGTTCCCCGCCGGGTTGGGACCAGGGCTGCGGGGCTCGAGTGTGAGTCGTTGCGGGGTGCCGCAGGCCGTCTGGGGTGAACCCTGGTGTCTTTTCGCAAAAGCGTCTCACCCTCCCCCCAGACTCGCCCCTCCCGCTCCCTCTCCTCCAATCAATAAGAAATATCAGCTGTTTAGCTGTAAAGAAGAAAGATGCCCCCCAGAACGCTCCATCCCGCGCACAGGGCCCGGGACCCCGAGGCAGAGTGGTCAGTTCGGGGTCCTCGGCGGCCCAGCCCCGAGCGGGCCTGTGAGGCCGACTGTGCCGCCCTGGCCGCCAGAGCTTGCCTGGGTGGCGGTTTGAGAGGAGTGCGGCCGGGCTCCCGGCGACTTCCAGGTCTGTGGCCCTGGCGCGCTGCTGAGCGAGGGGCAGGCCTGCCTGTTCGGGAGCGCCACGGGGTCCGGGTCAGGTGGGGGGTCGGGCTGGGGCAGACCCCGCCAGGGGAGCCGGAAAGCCTGGCTGGTTGTTAACTGCGGGGTGTCTCCTTTCCTCCCCGCAGCGGTGCAGAGGGGCAGGATGCCGCCCACCCAGCCAACCCACGGGCAGTTTGCGCTGACCAACGGGGACCCTCTCAACTGCCACTCGTACCTGTCCGGATATATTTCTCTGCTGCTGCGCGCCGAGCCCTATCCCACGTCGCGCTTCGGCAGCCAGTGTATGCAGCCCAACAACATCATGGGCATCGAGAACATTTGCGAACTGGCCGCGCGGATGCTCTTCAGCGCCGTCGAGTGGGCCCGGAACATCCCCTTCTTCCCTGACCTGCAGATCACCGACCAGGTGGCCCTGCTTCGCCTCACCTGGAGCGAGCTGTTTGTGCTGAATGCAGCACAGTGCTCCATGCCCCTCCACGTCGCCCCGCTCCTGGCCGCCGCAGGCCTACACGCCTCACCCATGTCCGCCGACCGAGTGGTCGCCTTTATGGACCACATACGGATCTTCCAAGAGCAAGTGGAGAAGCTCAAAGCGCTGCACGTCGACTCCGCCGAGTACAGCTGTCTCAAGGCCATAGTCCTGTTCACCTCAGGTAGGAAGGAGCCCTGTCCTGTCATGCCCAAGGACTCCTAGCTCAGGGTTAGGGCCCAGAGAACTTGGCAGTCCCCAGAGTGAGGCCAGCCTCCCCCTTGAAAGGCCACACTGTTGAGTGCAACTTGGAGTGGGAACTTTGTGTATAGGTGCTGGGCCTCACCACGCCTGTCCTGGGGATAAGAGAGGAAGGCTGGACTTCAGAAAGGGTGCTTCAGATACACAGGCTCTCAAAATTGGCCATGGGGAAGCCTCTCGGGCCTGCCAGACTGGGATGCATGCATGTTCCTGCTCCCTCCCTTAGCCCAGGCCTTCTGGGCCAGCAGAGCCTGTGCAATCTCCTCTACCCCATGGCTTGCTCTCTCTCTCTCTCTCTCTTTCTCTCTCTCTCTCTCTGTCACCCTGGCTGAGCCTCTAGGAGATGCCTCTGGGCACTGGAACCATCCTGGCATCATCTCTGCAGGGGAAAGTTTGCCCCTGCAGGGGAAAAGTTTGTCTGCTAACTCAGTAGGAGTTGGAGCTCCAGGCAAATCCAACCTGAGGGCAGCAATTTTCAAAATCATATTCTTATTAAAACAATACAAACTGCCAGGAGAGCAGGAAGAGCAGTCAGGAAGGGGCAAGGGGAAGAAAGAGGCCATCCTAGCTAGCCAGAATGTCTGCCAGGGGTTGAAGACTCTGGCCTCTTGCTGCTTCTGCCCAGGCAAACACTTAAGGCAATTTTCAAACAACCCAAAGTGTATGCCAACTTGGGCTGGATACGAATGTTGCCAGAGATATAAAACCATCATTGACTGCATTATGAAACCTAATTAGTTTGTATGTAGTTTAACCTGTGTGAGTAATAGATCTAATATTAATTAACTCTTGAGGCCAAATGATTTTTGAAGGTGTCTGGCTTCCCACTTTGGGCCACACCTGAGCCTTCTGGCTGCCTCCAGGCTGAATTCAGCCTATCCCAGGTGGGTGGAAATCACCCCCTCCACGTTCTTGGTCTGAGTTGTCAGCTGATCCCTTTGTCATGGCTGAGAGGGAAGAGGGGTTCCCAATTCAGAATCACAAACAGTCTGATATTGGCAGGGCTTGGAACCTAGAAACTGCAGTTTTTAAAACAGCTTGTAATCAGGACACTGGGAGAGCTGTGTAGTTCTTGTGGCGGACAAAAAGATCTACAGTCTCTTCCTTATTGTGTGAAGGAAATCTGGGGACCCAAGTCATTAGCTCAATCAATTGCAGGTTCTGAGTCCTTAACCCACTGTCTGTTATGCATTGCTGCTTTTCACACATAAACCATCCCCCCCCCACACACACACACATAGCCACCCCAAATTCTGCCTTTGAAAGTCCTTAGGTAATCAATTAAAGGGCAATGTCTGGCAAGGAAAAGCTGTATGGAGAGAGGCTTGGATCTGAAGTATTTTTCTCAGGGGAACTGTCATAACTAGAACATTTGCCTGATGCAAATGTACAGGCAGGATATTCCCCTACCCCATAGCCACCCTCACCCCTCATCCCACAATCCTACTACAACCCAGCCCATGATCCCAGAAGGTGAGGGTGTTGTTAATTTCTCCATATCATTGTTAGCCCTTAGTCTTACCCTTGGTCTTTCAAGGAAAGAAATGCCTGATACTGTCGTCACAGTTTAATTTATTACTATTTGCAAAATGTAGAGGCCTGTGTGGAGAATGCAAATCGCCTCACAAAGAGATAAAGGTCCCTCTTATCTGATTCGTAGGGAGACACACAGTGTACCAGCGCAGAGGGAGGGAGTCCTATGCAAACAGATCTTTTAATTCCTGACCACAGACACCTATGCATTCTTTACATGAGGAGTCCTAGATACACACATGAGGAAATTGCATGTGTGCTCTGGTTCTTGGGGGTGGAAGTAGTGGCGGCTGTTTTCAAATATCTGTTTTAAGGATTCACAGTCTGCATGTGTTAGTTAGCCCCAGTCCTGTCTGGGGAGCCCAAAAAGGTCAGGTCACAACCTGCACCGCCTTCACTGAGAAGCCTCTCATTTCAAAGGCACTTTTTTTTTTTTTTTTTTTGTATTTTCACATACCCCAAAGAGAAAAAGTGTTTTCCTGAAGATAACAGGGAGGGGTTTCTTCTTGGAGGGACCTGGGTTTTAAAAAAAATAAATAAATAAAGGGGGGTAGAAGAGAAAGGGAGAGAGAAGAAAAAGGGGAAAAGAAACAGCTCAAATGAACAGAGAGATCACAGTTTGCATGGCTGCCCTTCAATAGCCTATACTGACAAGATCAGTTTTAAAGGGCCACTTAAATCAGTTTCAAAGACTGGAGAAAAATGAGTCGCCCTCTTTGGGGAGAATCTGAGGCTGGGTCGTGGACGCCATTACTAGAGGCTGGGCCAGGTTTTTGCCCCCCCCCCACTATATAATTATAAGCCAAACTATTATTTACAGAGGAGGAGGGGGAGGAGGACTGGCAGTTTGGGTTTCATCTGTTTGTCTGTTTACTGACTTGAGCCAGATTCACCCAATGCACTTTGCTTGGGCCTCCCAGTGATGACCACGCCTGAGGACTGGGACAGTGAAAGCCTTGCAGTGCACTGAGCTGTGTTTGACTTTAAAGCAAATAGCCCAGGATCATCTCATGCTCTCCTCCTCCTCCCCCCCCCCCCGCACCCCCCCCCCCCCCCCCCCCGCCCAAGTTTTCAGTACAGAGGCATTTGCTCCCACTCCGGTTGGGGCAGTTTGACAGAGCACTGTACACACACCTCATGTGACCCATTTCAAACCTCTTAATCTGATGACTGAATTCTTCTTCTTCTCCTCCTTCTTCTTCCTCTTCTTTTTTTTTTTTTTTTTTAAACTTTCTTCCAGATGCCTGTGGTCTCTCTGATGTAGCCCATGTGGAAAGCTTGCAGGAAAAGTCCCAGTGTGCTTTGGAAGAATACGTTAGGAGCCAGTACCCCAACCAACCAACACGATTCGGAAAGCTTTTACTTCGCCTCCCTTCCCTCCGCACGGTCTCCTCCTCAGTCATAGAGCAATTGTTTTTCGTCCGTTTGGTAGGTAAAACCCCCATCGAAACCCTCATCCGGGATATGTTACTGTCCGGCAGCAGTTTTAACTGGCCGTATATGGCAATTCAATAAATAATAAATCAAAATAAGGGGGAGTGAAACAGAGAGAAAGCAAAGGCAAAAGACTGGTTTGTTTGCTTAAATTCCTTCTGTTAAGAAAGGATATAAAAGGATGTTACAAGTTTGCTAAAAGAAGAGAGGGGAAGAATTTAATGGACTGTGAATTTCAAAAAAAAAAAAAAAGACTGTCAAATGAACTTTTACAGAATGCATTAAAAAAAAAACTCCTGTGTCGGTCAGAACAACTTGCTACTTATCATTTTTGTATAAAAAGGAAATTAGTCTTTTTCTTTTTTTGGTAAATTTTTGAAAAATATTGCTAAAAGTGCATTTAAGGAGATTGGGAGAAAATTAGCAGAATGGAGAAAGTAAGTCTTTTTTTTTTCCAAATTATTAATTGTCCTGTGTCTATGTACCTCTAGCTGTTCTTTTTTGTACTTTTCTGGTTCCAAACCAGTTTATTCTGTGGTTCTATAATAAGTTTTGATATAATCTTGGCTTCTTAAAAACTGTGTATCCTTAAAATATATGTTCTGCAAGAATTAAAACTGAGTCCATGAAAATATCATAGGAAGACATAAAACTTTAAAAGACAACTCAAAGATGATGGAAACGCACTTACAAGTGGTGACCAAAAATTTTAGGTGAAGTTGAGCACTCTTAATTTGAGAACTGGAAGAACCACATACAACACTTAACTTCCCCTTCCCTGCCCCCTCCCAAAAGACACCATAACAAACCTAGCTTTTTAAAAATATTTTAAGAAAGAGAATGAACTGTGGAATCTATTGGCAGCCAAGGAATGTGTCCAAGACACATGCTGAGGTTTTGAATAAAAAGTGAACTTTTGTAATTTGAATTGGGTCCCGCTTAGTTCCTGAATTGTTATGAAAATCCTCTGTTTGTATATTTGCAAACCCTTTGTATTATAATTGTTGATATTTTCCCTTTTTAAAAAAAATACCATTGAAATCAGCATGACAAAATAACACTGTTGGCACTTATAGGTAACGTGATTGATTCAGTATCTTAGAGTTTACAGTTTGTGTTTTAAAAAAAACTGAAGGTTTTTTTTTTAAGTGCAACATTTCTGTATACTGTAAAAGTTATAATAACTGAATTGTTTGGTCGAGTCTTTGTGTGTTATATTCCAAGGAAAATTGAAAGTATTCAGAAATTAAAATATTATTTGATATCTGAAATCTGTTTGGCTGTCCCCACTCACTGTCTTTCCATCGTGAAGAGCCCCTGTGAGCTCTCGCTGAGCCGGGCAAGGGGTCCATTTGTTTACTCCCCTGAGTCAGTTTGTTCAAAGGTGGACTAGTATATTTGCCTGTTTAATTTGGGTGCGTGGGGTAGGGGGGGGAGAGAAGCTAAAGTTAATGGTTTATCTATGGTTTAGGAAGTGCCATACTGATATAGTAAACCACCCCTATTCACCTAATCCTCCTTTTAATTAAAAATGGATTTTCCAGGAAAAAAAAAGGCCCTTATATTTGTCACACGTAAGTGCCTGCTTAGGGAAGGTATTGTGGAAAGTATTAGAAATCTTGAGATCAGTATCTATTTTATGATCAGAAAAAAATACTGTTTTGTACATTTCTGACAGTTAAGCAAAAGACAGTTCTAGCAAGCTAATCACAGCGTTGTAAATAGAGGGCAGTTGTTTGCAGTGAGTTTTTCCTTAAGTAGGTGTGATTTTTAAAAATATTCTGTGGTTCTCATCTAGCTTGGTTGTTGAGAGGATTTCAAATTCAGTGATATAGCTTAGAGCGCTGAAGGGTCTGTTTTTAGTGTATATATGATAACTTGCCGTTGGCCTGCCTTTCCCCTCCCCCCTTTACGTTCATTCTGTGAGAGCATGACCACAGGTCAAGGGAGCCTTTTCCACTGGAGTTATGTACATAAAAACACATCGACATTTTGACATTTCGGATTGTGTAGATACAATCTGTACTGCTCTTGGGATCCTTTGTCCTTAGAAGCCAAGTTAAGAAAAAGAAGAGAAAGAAAGAAGGAAGGAAACTTTACAGGGTGTGCTGATTTGGAAGTAGTAACAATTTTGTTTTGGAGGTGGTGGTGTTTTTTTTTTTTCCTCTCTCTCTCTCTCTCTTTTCCTGGTTTGAAGGAAGCTCAGTGTGTGGGAGCTTGCAATTTTGTTCTTACTGAGGCTTTCCAGCACCCCCCCCCCCACTTCACTATGTTGTGGTTTAATTTGAAAAGCGGTGGATAGGGAAGCTGGAAGAAAGGGATCATTTTGTAAAGTGTATTAAACTTTGATACTCAGTTCCAGTCAATACACGTAGACCAGAAGAAACTGTCTGATTTGTGCACTTGAGCAGAGTCCTCCATCTGACCCCCAGCTTCTTTCTGTAGATATATACATACACAAATATAAGTATGTTCTTAGGGCGGAATATTGCTGACCTTTTAGCTCGAGGTTTGTCGGTTGTTGTTTATTTTCTCCTCTTGCAAGTGCTATCCATGTGAGTGTGTGAAGTTTCTTTAATAAGTAAAACACAGGCCCTTTTCCTTGTTTGTTTTGTGTTAGTTTATTGTAAACAGCCATTTGTTGTAAATTATTATTGGCATTAAATTATAATTTATGATTTTCAAAGCAAAGACAAGTCCCTGTTTTATTATGCTTTAAGCATGTGTTCTAGTCACTGGAAACCTCTCTCTCCCTCTCTCTGAGTTTCAGCAATGAGCTTGGGGTCTGCAAGGCAGAAAAACAGGACCCAAAATTTTTCAAACGGTTAAAACAAAACCCCTTGTATATGTTTAGAGTGGCCGGAGGAGGATCTGTTTAGAGTCTTGAGTTTGGTTTAAGTTTATTGCATTTAAAGAAAGTTTTTCTTTTCACGCTGAGTTAGAACAAAAGATCTTTGCTGCAACTGAACTGGACAAAAGACGAGGGCTGGGACCCAGCGAGTGCGTTCTGTGTGAAATTGACGAGATCTTTTTTAAAAAGCTGCTAAACATGGCGACTCTTTCCCTTTAAGTGTCTCTTTTTCCTTGCTGGGTTTTTTTTTTTTTTTTTTTTTCCTTTCCATCTGATCTGAGCTCGCTTTATTTCTTTTCCCAACCCGCTCCCCCTCCCTCCCCTTGGCGCTCGGGGGGGTGTGAGAGAACCCAGTTAGACGCGAGATGCAACAATAGTCCGAGGAGAGAGAGAGAGAGGGGCGATCGCTGCTTCTGGCCACTTTCAAACAAACCTGGGGGAAGACGGAGCTGGGTGTGTGTGTGTGTGTGTGTGTGCGTGTGTGTGTGTGTGTGTGTGCGCGCGCGCGCAGGGGGCGGGGGGGGTGGGATGCAGCAGCCAGTTCGCTCGGCTCGCGGTCGCCCTGCCTCGGCCTTTCTGCATTAGTTCTCTCTGGGCCGCGGAGGGGCCGGGGCTCAAAGTTAGCGGGCGGCGTCCGGGGCCGGGGCCGGGGCCGGGGCCGCGGCGCGGGCCGCGTGTGCATCCGCCGGGCTCGCAGGGCCGGGGGCTCCGAGTTGGCAGCCGCGGCCGCACAGTGCCGCCCCCCCGCGGCCCCCGCCCCCCACTTACGTGCGGCGGAATTCCGCCAGCGCCCCCGGAACGTGCGGGGTGCCGGGCGCGCGGAGCTGCAGTCCCTGGCTGTGCACCGCGCGGCGGCGGGCGCGGGCGCGGGCGCGGGCGGGGGCGGGGGCGGGGGCGGGCGGCGGTCAGGGGGAGCTCGAGCGTGTGAAACTCTGCCTCGAAGCTCGCTTTTGACTTGGTCCTATGAGCTGAGCCAACATGGCGTCTCCCATTGCACCGCGAGCGCCGGGCTGCCAGGCACGGCAGGGCCGGGTAATAGAAAACATACTGGTTACCGAAAAGAAAAAGAAAAAAAAAAAAGAAAAGAAAAAAGAAAAAAAAAAAAAGAGGGGAGGGGGCGGCTAAAGGCCATTTCACGTGCAGGCAGAAAACCCTCTTTGAAACTCCGGCTGGCGAGTGAGTGCGGTCCTCGAGGATTCTGTAATCAAAGCAGCAGAATTCGTAGGGAAAGGACGCGTAACGCAGTAACCCCTTCTCCCTTCGCCCCCTCCCTCCCCAACCCTTATAATTAGCAGAGTTTATTTCGCGTCTCCCCTCCCAACGGGAGCCAAATGGGAAAAAGCGAGAAGCGTGCATCCTCGAAGCATCTGAAACGTTGGCATGGCACAGGGGGAGGGGGAGAGGCCGGTACTTACAGACCCGGTCAGTGCTCGCCTCGCCGCTCGCGAGGGCGAGGGCGGCGGGGGGTCGCGGCGGGGCCGGGCCGGCGGGGGCGCGGGCTGGTCTGCGCACCCCTCCGGGCGTGGGCACAACTTGCCGCTCGCCTGTCAAAGTTGCAGCAGTGGCGGCTCCGAGGCGGAGGGCTGGCTGCGGGCGCGCGGCGGCCCAGGGCGCGCTCGGGGCGGGTGGTCGCAGGCCCTGCAAGTGTGCGAGCCTGCGTGGACAGCGCCCCTGGCAGGAGCGCGCCCTCGGCGGAGGACCCCCTTTCTTCAGTAGGCTTGAGCGGGCGAGGCTGGCCGTGGGACAGATTCTGGCCTCCCAGAGAGGGTCTTCAGAGGCAGTGGATTGGCCTGGGCCGAGCTCTCAGCGGACGGGGGACTCGCCCCTTCCTTGCAGCCAATTCCAGCCTGTGCCCGGGCCCGGAGACCCCTACCCGCTGCCGCCTGGGAGGGAAGCGAGGTGCTCTCTGAATTCCGGGCCTCGTCAAGATTTATTGAAGTTGGGTTTTAAAAACGTGCTTCAGATGATTTTTCCCATTTTCTCAGATTTCAAAGGCTCCCTGCAGTGCGGCTGCCTAATTAATGGTGAAATTCAACTAAATCTAATTATGCAGTAATTTTAAAGCAGTTAGTGCTGGGCGTTGGTTTGTAATAGGACCCCAGTTTTTTAAAGTTTGCTTACTGTGTTGGTTTAGGGGAAAGCCATCTTTTGTATGGCAAAGAAAGACGGGGAAATAGTTTTGCTGCAGGAACCCGAGGGCTGAGAACCGCCCCCACCCCCTCACCTCCATCCCCATCCCTGCCTCCTGCCCTCTCTCTCTCTCTCTCTCTCTCTCTTGCCCTCTCTCAAGCTCAAGCTCAAAAGCTGAGCGAGGTGCTCACCCAGCAGAGATACCCGTTTTCGTAGCCAAAGGGGAAAGAGAATTTTTCGTAAGGAGACACAAAGGGGCTTGGTATCTCTCCTCCTGGACCCATCTGTAAGGGCCCCCAAAACAGGGAAGGGACTCTCATCTTCTCTAATAGAGAACAGATTTCCTTCCCTTAACATCCATTGTCATTAAGGCGAAAAGCTGACTCTTGGAGTTATAAATCTTATCGTCCTTCTGATAACACACTTGTAATAAGTTAGCGTCCTATTCAAAGTGAATTGTAAAACTGCCTCATTTAATATGGCATCTGTGTCATTAAAACTTTTATTATTTTTTCCCCCTTGCCGTCTTGCAGGCCTGGCATTCCGTCGAGCTCTGAGGTGCCTATTGGGCCTCTGGGGTAGGGCCAAGGGGGATAAAGGTGTGAGAGATGGGCTGCCTGGTTTCAGCCTCTGGATCTTAGTCTGGGGTGAGAGACCCCTGAGGCAGAGAGGGCCTGGGGGGTGCTGTGTCCCCCCTTTCCCATCCCCTGGAGCGGGCCCCCTCAAAATGACGTTCCTTGAAAGAAACATGCTTGTGATTAGCTAAGCAAACACATCTGCTTTCGGAGTTGGGCCTTCGTTAATTAGCTGAACAAAGGGCCGTTTTGCTTTTTACCTTTTGCTAAGGGAGAGTGTGTTATTTCAGGAGTGTCGCCGGCCCTCCTCTTTTCAATTGCAGCCACGACGTTAATTTTATTGGGATTACTGATGGGAAATGAGGTGGCGCAGGCTTCCGAGAGGAAAAGCTTGATCATTACCCCCTTTGGAACTATATTTTTCCACCAACCTCCTGCTCGCAAGGAGGGGGTGGCGGGGGGCAAACCGCGCAGCAAGTTCGGAGCAATTGGAATCAGGCTCGCGGTGCGCTGATCTCGGGTGACAGAGCGTGTGTTGGAGCTGAACTCTATAATTTGCGCTTCTGTTCCTTTATTAGCCCTGGACAACGAACTAATGAGCTTTGGCCCAGCACAGTGTCACTTGTATTTATTTTCTTATGGCAACTTTGAGATAGCGGAAGTGTTTCTTGCCCAGAGCCAGGGAGGGCCTCGAGTCCTGACCACTGCCTTCCTGGCCCAGGTCGGTGGCTGCGTCCCAGGGGAGCAAAGGCGCGCACAGGACTGATGGAGCTTGGCGACGGGGCCTCTAGATGAGGCCTTGGGGGCCCTCCGGAAGGCGTCAGGCCCTTTGGAGGCCCAGGCATTCCTGTAGGCCCAGCTTCTGAGGTTGAGGTCAAGGGACACAGGGCAAGACTAGGGCAGGACCAGGGCAGATCCCCAGGCACGAGATGGTCGAGGTGCAAAGGTGGCCTGGCACCCTCCTGGCCCTGGAAGGAGGAGGGACCCATGAGCATGACTAAGTCAGGCCAAGGAACCCTTGGAGCAGCGGGGCTATCTTACCCAGTGGCCTCAGGGATTGTGTGTTTTGTGATGAAGGGGGCCTGGCTCAACTCCCTGGCTGTTTTGGGGGGTGAGAGGATGCTTTAAAAGGAGCTCTTGGGGTTCTGAAGTGCAGAGGTTCCTCTTCCCCTAGTTTGGATACTCCCAGCAGTCTCAGTTGGAGAGGCCTGGCATAAAGTAAAGGAGGTGTGGGGGGTGGGGACAGAAGAGGGTCTACCGAGGCAGCACCAAGGTCCCTGGTGCCCAGGAAGAGAGAAAAGGAGCCCCTCTCCCCCGGCACGCCAAGTGTGAGGGGGAGGAGGCGCCAGGTAAAGGAAAGCCCAGGGAACTGCCAAGCGAGCGGGGGACTTCTCCGCTCCGCAGCCCGAGACGTCCTGCGGCTTTTGCCTTGCTCCCTGCCAGGCAGCCTTTGCTAATAACGCCCAGGCTCTGTGCCCCCGCCCGCCCCATCTCTGCTCGCCTCTCCTCGCTTTCTCCCTCCGCCTTACTCCCCCCTCCCCACCTCTTCCTTCCTTCCTGCAAATGGGTGTTAACGTGGGTCTTTATGTTCTGTCTATAACTAGGATGTAATCACGCGCCCCATGCCTCTCTCTAAAAGCATTTAATAAATGTCTATTAAAGCGCTACAAATGTAAGATGAATTTAGTGCCGCGGCTGCCTCCCTGAATCCGAACGGTAATGATGGATTTATCAACGGGGATTCGCCTTCAGCACAGCGAGGGAGGTTTACTCAGCAAATATGTCGGCGAGCACCCACCCAAATACAATCATTTGACCCCCCGCAGGCTCTAGCCGCCTCACCCTTTCTGCCCCACCAGCACGGAGCAGGGAAGACCAGAGGGTTGTCGCCCCCTCGCCCCCTCCTCTGTCTCCTCTCACCCTGCAGGTCTCTTGGTGGGCGTGGGGGACCTGGCATGGAGATTTGGAGGTAGGGAGCCGGTGGTGACAGTGTTAGATCACAGGATGAAGTGTGGGCCGGTGTTGGATTTGCCGGGAGACATCAGTGGGCGCTCCTGTAACCCTCTTGGTTTTGAAGGACTGGCAGTTGTTTCAGTCTATGAGTGCCCACTTGAGTACCCT